ATTAACAATTTATTTCTTTTCTTTTCCCTTTTTTCCCCCTTTTTTTTTTTTTTTTTTTTTTTGGTATCGGGGATCGAACTCGAGTCCTTGCACTTGTGAGGCAGGCAGCGAAACCACTGAGCTAAATCCCTGGCCCAACAACTTATTTCTTAATTACCAGATGAGCCATAGAAGTAAATGAAACCACCTCACAAACTGGTCTTTTAATCATTAAGTTCATTGAACTATTTCATATGGTTCAAAAGCCAGCTTGTTTAACTGGCTGGTATTTCTGGATCTCTGATATGTCAGTATTGACACCTTAGAATATCTTGCTTTCTGCTGAGTGTAAAGCCTGTAAACTTGTCCTTAAAGCCTCTGCTTGCTTTTTCCTGTGTAACATTTATCATCCTTGTGTGTTTGGACAATAAACTCTACAAGGCTTTCTTTATTTCTGATAATACATCCCTGGCAGCCGTATTGAACCAAAGACTCCATTCTGACAATGGCGTGACCACATATTTCTTCATTTTTGTACTTTGGAAAGTACAGATGAATTACCGGTTCATTTAGGGTGGAAAACACCTATGTAAAAGTGTTAAAGAATACATTCTTAGAAAAGCCATAAGAAGCAGAGTCATGAGGGAGGAATGATAAATTGTACTTTATCAAAGTTAAAGATGCTGCTCATCAAAAAGGAAAAAAATGGAAACAAAGTCTTTGTAAATAGGGAAAGGTGGAGGGGGTGAAGGGAGGGCAGGGAATGGGGAAAAAATAAGAACCAAGATGCATCATGTAAAGGTACAAGTTCCCAATGATGAATGTAACTGTATTGTATACCTAAAATGTACCAATAAACTTAATGGAAGGAAAAAAATGAATAAATGAATGAAAAATTTTAATAGACGCTGCTCATCAAAAGATATATTAAGCCAGGGATTTAGCTCAGTGGTTCCGGCGCCTGCCTCACAAGCACAAGGTCCCAAGTTCGATCCCCGGTACCAAAAAAAAAAAAAAAAGATATGTTAAAAAATGAAAAAGTTAAAATATGTGAGAAAATATTTACTAAATAAATATAATTTCCAAATAATAGAGGGAGAAATAGGATAACTTTAGAAATTCAACCAAAATGAATGTAAGCTTAGGCAGGACAGGTAGCAAGCACATGATGAAATGGAAGATTTAAACCCAAAGGTGTCAGTAGTTACACAGTTACATTAAATGTTAGTTAACTACTAGATTTTTTAAAAGGAATTACTGTGCATACTGTCTACAATAAGTACACCTGAAGTATAAAGGCACAGAACAGTTGGAAAGGGTAAAAGTTGACGTATTATGCAGACACTAATCCAAAACAACGTGTGCAGCTTTGTTAATGTTAAAATAAGCTTTAAGCACCAAATAAATATATGTAAAAATGTCCAACATCACTGGTCATTCGAGAGATGCAGATGAAAACAACACTGAGATTCCACCTCACTCCACAAAGAGTGGCTGCTATCAAGAAATCAACCAATAACAAATGCTGGCGGGAGTGTGGGGAGAAAGGAACCCTTCTCCACTGTTGGTGGGAGTGCAGACTGGTGCAACCAGTGTGGAAATCAGTATGGAGATACCTCAAAGAACTAGGGCTGGAGATCCCATTTGACCCAGCTATTCCCCTGCTGGGTATCTTCCCCAAAGGATTAAAAGAATCATACCACAGTGATGTATGTGCACCCATGTTTATAGCAGCACAGTTTGTAATAGCTAAAGCTTGGAAACAGCCCAAGTGCCCATCAACTGGAAACTAGATAAAGAAAATGTGGGGTTTTTTATAAAATGGAGTACTACTCAGCCATAAAGAACGAGAAACTAGAGTCATTTATAGCTAAATAGATGCATATTAAGGCCATAATCTTTAAGTGAAATAAATAGGACACACATGTGTAAATACTGAATAGTTTCTCTAGAGTGAAATACTGAAAGTGTAAATAAGGGTCAAAATGATTAAAATGAATAATTGATAATTTTTTTTTTGGTACCAGGGATCGAACTCGGGTCCTTGCGCTTGCGCAGCAGGCGGCGAAACCACTGAGTTAAATCCCCGGCCCCTATAATTGATAATTTGAAATAGGAAAAATGGTCCAAAGATGTAGGGGTGAAGGGAGGGGAAGGGGAAAAGAAAGAAGGGAAAGTAAAAATTATGAGAAAAGAAAAATGGAAATGATGTCTACGTAAATAGGGAAGGTTGGAGGGGTGAAGGGTGCACAGGTAATGGGGAAAAAATAAGAACCAAGATACATCATGTACAGGTACAAGCACCCAGTGATAAATGTAAACATATTGTATACCTAAAATGTACCAATAAAAGAACTTAAGAAAATAAGCTTTAAGTCATAAAGCAGTTCTACAGATAACAAAGAACATTTCACAATGATGAAAGGTTTGTTTCACCAGGAAAGCAGTAGCTTTTATGTTTTTTGTGTACTTACTGAGTAGTCCCAAAATCTTTAAACCAAAAGAAATAAGTTCAAAGAGAAAGATAGAGGGCTGGGGTTTTAGCTCAGTGGTTTCACCACCTGCTGCGCAAGCAGCAAGGACCCGAGTTCGATCCCCAGTACCAAAAAAAAAAAAAAAAGAGAAAGATAGAAAGTATGGAATTCTCACACATAGTAAGAACTGATACAATGAGCAGGTTAAAAAACAGTTTAAAAAAATAGAAGATTTGGACAACACAATAATTGGCCTTGTGGCCATTTATTGAACATTGCCTTTGAAGAATGTTCTTTTTGAAATACAGAACATTCGTAACAGTTGACTATAAACCGGGCCATAAAACTACAACCAATTACAAAGGGTTTGAAATGATACAGGGTATACTTTCTGGCCACAGTGCAAGTAAACTAGAAATATAACGAAGTTAAAATATGTGTGGATATTTTATTCCACTGAATAACATGTGGCTTGGAAAAGAATTTATAATAGAAACTTAAAAACACATACTTAGAATTGAATGATAAAGAAAATACTGATATAAAAATTTGTAGGATTCAGCTTCTTGAATGTATATTGTAGAAAGAAAAAAATATTGAAAATCAGTAAGCAGAGTGTCTACTTAAGAAGTAGAGAAAGAGGGCCGGGGTATTATTCAGTGGTGGAGTGTTTGCCTGACATGCTCAAGGGCCAGCACTGAAAAGAGACAGAACTTGCAGGATATTAAAGGATATGGAAGACAGGATTTTTTTTTTTTTTGGTACCCGGGATCGGACTCGGGACCTTACACTTGCAAGACAGGCCGTGGAACCACTAAGCTAAATCCCCAGCCTGAAGATTATTTTTAATAAGCAGTAATTTAATTAGCAGTAATAGGAGTAATAATTAAGTAGCAAAGAAATTGTGAACAGAAAGGGTCAATTGAGCCAGATGTTATGTTAATTGCAAAGACCTAAAAGCACTAAATAACAGGTAACCAATACAGAATGAAAAGGGAGGACATCACTATGGATCCTACAGACATTAAGGAATAATTTTATTATGGACAACTTTAGGGTGGTAAATTTGACAACTTACACAGTTTACTAAAACTGACATGTGAAGAAATAAGAAATCTTAATAGTTCCCTACATCCTAGCGCTTGAACTTGTCTCCAAAAGGAAACTTGTGATTGGAATGGGTTCATTGGCACATCTACTGTTTAATGGAAAGGGTCACCAGTTTTAAATTGCTCCTCCAGAGAAGAGGAGAAATTCTCCAGGTTATTTTGAGGCCAGCACTTCCTTGAAAGAAAAGCTAGGAAGGGGCCAGGGATTTAGCTCAGCGATGTAGCCGCCTGCCTCACAAGCTCAAGGTCCTGAGTTTGATCCCCAGTACTAAAAAAGAAAAAAGAAAAGCTAGGAAGTACATTCTGTAAGTGGAGAATTATGGCCAGTCTCAGTCAAAAAACTCAGAGTATGGTGGTGCATGCCTATAATTCCAGCACTAGGGAGGCTAAGGCAGGAAAATCACTCTGAGTTTGAGGACAACGTTGGCTGCATAGTTCAAGGCCAGCCTGAAGTGCATAGCGAGACCCTATCTCAGGAAAAACTCAGAACACTTTGTAAAATGAATGTAAGATGTGACAGGAATTATTAGTCAACTAAATCTAGTCTCAAAGACAAAGCAGTGGACAAAAAGCTAGAATAATACATGATAGCTTGTTAGAGTCGAATACAAGATTCTTTTGATATCATAAAATCAGTGTGATCCACCACCTTAACAGTAGACAGAAAAATCATCTTAATACCTAAAATAAATTGGTAAAATTCAATATCCATGATTAAAGAAAAATGAATTGACTAAAATAAAAACTTAGTTTGACAAATCCAGTAAAAGTACTGGAATTTTAAGCCACTTTCCCTTTGAGATGGAGGAACAAAACCTAAGATAAATCTAATTCAGTCTGTGTGTATCAAATGTAACAGTGTAGCAAAGCAAAGTGAATTTTAAAGTGTTACTCTCAGTATCATCAAAAATTCAAAATGCTTAAGATAAATCACATTAAAGACATGTGATACTTCCGTAGAGTCAGACAGTAACTCACTGAGAGATAGGAAAGATCTGAGACATCTTTTCAATCAATGGTCCTGAAAGAATTGGTTAATTATAGGGAAAAAATCTTGATCCCTCCCCTCACCATGGATGAAAGTCACTTTCAAGTGATTATAGATCTTGATACCAAGGCTGAAGCAAAAGCCTCTAAAAATAACTTCTGGTCACACAAAACATCAAGGAAGTAGAAAGGCAATTCACATTCTGGTGAGAGTACTTTAAAAATACCCAGCTGACAAAAGCTTGTGTCTGTAAAGAATTCTTGCAAAATAATGATAAGATCCCTGATTGAAAAATGAGCAAGAGTTTTGAATAAGCTCTTACAAAAGGATATGCAAATGGCCAGTGAAAACATAAGAAGCTGCCTCATTCACTGGGAAGGTGCAGGTAGATGGAACCCCCAACAAAGCCTGCCTTCAGGGCCGGGGATGTAGCTCAGTGGCACATCATCCTCACAAGTGCAAAGTCTGGGTTTGATCTCTTGGGGGGGGGGGGCAGACACGAAACCTGCCTTCTGAGTTGACTAGACATAGAACGGGTAGTGGGGATTGGGCCCCAAGAGGTGTGGAGCAGGGCTCTGGCACTGCAGAGGCCCTGGGACCCGGCCACTCCTCTGTGGAATGGAGCCCTGGTGGGATGTGTTCGTATGTGTACTGAGGTGCATGTGCAGAAACCTGACTTGACTTGTGATAAGAAGACTAGAATAGCCAGACAGTTTGCTAAATACTGGGATTCAACATGGCAAAGAAAATGAAGGAGCTGGGGTGGGGGACGTAGCTCAGTGGCACCATGCCTGCCTGGCAAGCGCAAGGCCCTAAGATCAATTCCCAGTACCAAAAAAAGAAAGTGAAGGAGCACCAGCAAATGTTATTCACAATAGACACAGGCCAGAAAAGCCAGACACAAATTAGCACGCTGCGTCCCCAGTCACGTAAAGCACACAGGCCCTGGGGAGGAGCTCCTTAGGGAGCTGGGGTAGACATGAGTAAGGAATTGGCCAGTGCCTGTGTCTCAGGCTGCTGTGGGGAAGCCCTCACCTCTGCCCGCGTGCGCCCTGGCCAGGCACTGCCTGTGCTGTGTGTGGGCTCTGCTGCATGTGCTCCGGGGCTTTCCTGGCTCCTAAGGTATCTCCTGTTCTCTTTCCTGAGCTCTGCTTCACTGGGTAGTAGATAAGTGAAATACAGCATCAAGTCTGTTTCTTCCCAGGCAGATGAAATAAAAAAGGGAAGCTTTTGTTCCACTGTTCTACATTTCTGCCTTAAAGGCTGAATATTTTCACTGAATTATTTTTAATTTTCCTTTTGCAGTGCTGAGAATTGAACGCAGAGCCTCATGCATGCTAGGCAAGTGCTCCACCAGTCACCCATACCCTCAGCCCAGTCTGATTGATATTTTTAGTGTTTGACGTTTTGGAGGAAAAATCAATTTTAAAACAGTATAGGTTTTATAGTAGAGGTTTCATAATAATTGCTGTCTTAAATCCAGCCCCTACAAGCAAAGGGCCCCTAAATACTCAGGAATAAGGTCTGTTTCCCTTGTGTGGCAGCACAGAGCCTGCACTTGCCCAGCCTGGCTGGGGCCCAGTCCTGTGGTCGCTGAGTCCCCAGGACATCCATCCTGTGACTATCTGTATCATCTTCAGGGCTTTGGCCTCTCCACATGGTCACAGCTACAGAGCTAAACTGCCCTATTCCAACTCTTAACAAGAGGATGAGTGGTTTGGGGTTTTCTTTGAGCTGTTTTACTGAAATATAATTCATGTACCATGCTTTCACCCACTTGATATTTACGACTCAGTTGTTTTAGTGTACCCACAGCTTTGTAAGCATCACCATTTTGTGGTTCTTTGTGCAAGAGAGTTGTCCACCATGGTCCATTCACACCCCATGCCTTAGAAGTTAACCTTGTTGCCCCAGAGTGTAAGAGAAGCCAGAAGTACAGCTCCAGCCGAGCAGGAGAGGCGTGTGAGGGGCCTGTCTGCCACGAGTAACAGACCTGTTTCTGTCGTCACAGGTGTGACAGCTCAGAAAAGCTGAAGGCTCTTCTGCCCAGACTGGAACAGGAACTTAAGGACTCTGCGAAGTTTAAAGACTTTTATCAGTTTACCTTTAGCTTTGCTAAGAACCCCGGGCAAAAGGGTTTAGGTGAGTATGAATCCAAATGTTTTCCAGTGCAAGGTCTGGCTGAGCCAGCGAGCGGCCATGGTCACCGTGATGTCAGCACAGCCAGCTGTGATGTTGCTGCCTTTCTCTGCTTATTCTTAACACCTGAAAATGTCAACCAAGTGTCCCTTGGCTTCTGGGTTTTAGTATTTAAATTTTCAAGTGTAAACTAATCGGCAAGTGTTCCATACCCTCCCGTGGCTGTCTCACTGACTAAAGTCAGCAGTTACAGTTGACAGCCTTAGTGTTTAGAACTTGTTTCCCCCGTGACGTTTTGCCAGCCAGGTCTGTGACAGGCCTGGAGTGTTAAAAGTTGACTTCCATAAAACCAGTCTCCTGTGTGCTGAACTGCACTTTGGTCCTCCTTCAGAGCGGTGTGACTTACATGTTTCTGGGGGGTGAGTGTGTGTGGGTGCGTATTACTCAGGCGGAGCAATGAGATTCACTTTGGTGCACTGATACACGCATGTAACGTTTGGATTATTTTTGTCCCGAGTCCCCACCCCTGCCCTTTCCTCATCTCTAAAAGTCTACTTTCTAGTTTCATCTCAGAAGTTTTCAACTTAAATTATCAGTTTGAGATTTGGGTTTATATGAAGTTTTGGTGGGTGGGGGTTTTTTTTTGGCATCTAAATACTATGTGGCTTATTTCTGCTTTAACTCCTAAAAATCTATCTATATTGACCTACACTTGGTTGCATAGTGTATGTAACAGTCCTTGATTAGTTAAAATCTCTTACACGTTTTTAGGGAGGATTGTAAATAGGGATTAAAGTGGCATATTAGAAAGGTATGTTTTGAAGAAAAACTCCTGTAAATAAAATCAGTATCATAAGATGACAGAAAATTACCTGGAAGCCATAAAACCCTTCTGCAAGTTCTCAGTCGGTCCTCAGTCCTGATCATCTGCATGCACGGATGCCATCGGCATGGACACTCTTCTCAGCATCCTGTGCCGTCCTCCACTCCTGCAGCTACTGTCCCATCGGTGTGGGTGCAGACCGAGGGAACTAGAGCAGGCAGATGGCTTTCTCTTCCTAGACATGGCCGGGACTCTTCCTCATCTTCTCGTTTGTTTTAATGTTGACACACTGGACTATGACAGGTTCCTCATTCGAGCTTGTTCCTCTCCTGGCTGTTGCACCTGTGAAACCACCCTTTACCCACATGCCCCCTCTCAGCTCAGAAGCAATGTTCAGGAACCAAGGAAAACCTTCCTCAGAGACTGTGTTCAGGAGCTCACCTGACAGCTCCCCTGAAACTCAGACGGCCCCGTTAGTTTCTGTGAAGATTTCGGATGTATTTATCTCTGTTCCAGAGATTCCAGGGTCTGGAGTGCAGCTCAGTGATAGAGCATGTGCTCAATGTGTACATGGCCCTGCATTCAGTCCCAGCCTCAGAAAGAAAACAGACGCAGGTGAGCAGATGAGACATGTAGACCATGCCCTCCCACATTACATGATCACGCAGCCAAATCCAGAAGCATTTGGGCAGAGGTTGTTGAGACAGGTGACCCAACAGTGCTGTTTCGGGCTCTGCTCCTCATAGCTGGGTGCACAGATGTGAAAGCAGAGAAAAGTCCACTGTCATCATGGGTTAGAGGACAAAAGGCAGAATGTCTGGGGTCCCTTGTTTTCCCTTGCTTTCCAGAGATCAGCCATTGCTAAGCTGGTTTAGATAAGGAGAGAGAGGAGCCAGCCGCCTGGCATGAGGCCCTGATGGGCCCCAGAGGCCTGCATCAGCCAGTCCTTGTATCCCAAGGGGAAGTCGTGCCCTGGAAAGGACTGAAGAGCCCACTGGTCTTTATGCCAGAATGGAGACAGAGCCACTGAACATAGGTGCTGGTGAGGATGAAGTTTCACAGACTGCGGTGGGTTGGTGCAGAGTGGAGAGCTAGACTCAGACGTAAAGCATTTGTCATGTGCCCTTGGCAGTGAAGGATGACTCTGGTGTGCAAGGGTAGTTTTGTACCTGCAGCCCTTGCAGCTGGACGTGTGGGTCCCCTCTATCACATCTGGTCTGGGGCGGTTAGTGTGGCTTGTGTTCTTGGGGGTGGCCACTTGTATCTTTTACTTGTTTCTTAGGAAGAAGGGCGGAAAATAACATTCACTAAGCATCCCTGTGTGCCCGAGAGGCCTCCCTGGGCCACACGTAGTTTCCTTCCTACCCTGCAGGTTCTCTAGGCCTGCCTCTGGAATGACCTCATCACTCCAGGGAGTGTACCCCACCTGGTGCCTGTAGGTGTCACACTGTTAGTGTCCGTACAGGGCTAGTGTCTCAACGAAGTCAGAGTGGAATCATGGACAAAGGAGGCAGTTAGGGGCGTTCACTGGAAGTGTAAGACCGGGGAAACCTCCAGTAGTCGGGAGGGGTCTGGAAAAGGGTGTCCAGAGTGCCTTCCTTGTCCAGAGGCCTTTTTATCTAGGTGCCAGCTCCCTGGCCATAACAGGCCAAGGTGGCTTAGCCTAGGGTTTGGGGTAGATTGTCCATGCTCTCATGTGACCTGTGGAGAAACAGCACACACTGCCGCACACTGATGACACGCCCTGGCCTGTCAGAAGTCTTGCTGTATAGTTAGGAAGAAGAAAGTAAAAGGGTTGAGGGGACCAGCAACAGTGGTCACTCCCCATGTTTGCTTTTACGTTCCCTAGCGTAGTGATCTGTATGGCTGAGTGAACCACTCACCTGTGTGTGTGCTGGTTTTCTAAAAGCTGACCAGCCCAATTCCACCTTAGGCACAGTCCCTTACTAGCTGCCTCCTCATGAGCAAAAGAGCTCAGCCACCTCTTACACCACCACCTGCCTGCTGGATGGCCTGGCATCCGGAGCTGTGGCTGAGGGTGCTGTGGCCTCTGTTGAAGGATGGTAGAATCATTAAAGCTTCAGAGGGTAGGGGCGCCTGCTGTGGCCCACTGAGCCCTTGCAGTGAGATACTGAGGATGAAGGAGCTGCCGGGCCTCCCGGGGCCTCTGCTACCCCTCATCCTCTCTGCGGCCCTCTGTGGCCCTAGCATGTTCCAGGTGACGCAGGGCCCGCCTCAGCCAGCACGTATCCCCTGTCTACCCCCATCTGCAATTTTCTTACCCACTTTTACTGTGTTGCTTCTTACTAGTATTTTTTATATGTTTGTTTGTTTGTTTTAGTGAAATTCACAATCACTTCACCTTTGTATTGTTTTTTTTTCCCCTCCCCAGTACTGCGGATCAAACTCAGGACCTTGCACTTGCTAGACAGGCCCGGTGCCACTGAGCTATATCCCCGGCCCCCTTCACCTTTTTAAAGACTGCAAACTGATATGGAATCAGCTGTCTCTTCCCTGCTTCCCTCTTGCTGGGGCACCAAGGGAGGCATCTGCGGGACAGGGAGAGGCTGCGTGGCTCTGCAGAAGCCGCAGGGTACGTGCTGACAGGCCCAGCCTCCTAGGCGAGGCAAAAGCTTGGCTGGGCTTTGAAGACATGACATGGCTCTGGTCAGGGTGTCTGTGTCCCATGCTGCCTTGAAGTCTTCCTTATTTGCAGTGTTATTAGCAACGTGTTGGTTCCCCAACTTAACTATCATTGCTCTCGCAATAACAGGATAGAAAGTCTGGAGCCGGATCCGAGGTGGACTCTGACCCCAGAGATCCAGCCCTGTTTCCAAGTACTGCTGCCCCCGTTTAGACCACACTCGCGCACACATCTTGACTCTTATTTCTGAGCATGGCAGCAGGGTTTTGGTGACTGCTGTTGAGCACAGGATCAGAAGGGGGCAGTGATTGCCTGGGAGGGACCTTGGGGGCCATGGGTCCGCTCTGTGCTTACTTTGAAAGTTCCCAGCTGTATTGTTGAGGTGCTTACTTTGCCAATCCCTGGTTGATACGACATTACAGCAGTGGTACGTATTTTAAATTAGAAGCTGTACTCATCAGCTCTGCAACAGCTCATGAGCAGACTAGTCAGACGGCCCTGTGTGGGTGCTCCGCTGTGTGCCAGCATGGAGGGTGGCTGAACGCCTTACTGCATGGGGCCACAAGGACACACGCTCACACCGTATGACTCAGGCTGTTCCTCCTTGGCAGCTGCCCCAGGGGCCTGCCAGCTTCCTGTCTCATCTTGTGGCAAGACCTCAGCGGTGTTCACTGTCCTTGAGGCTGGAGGCCATCGCCTGCTGCTTTGCCTTGGGTCCTCCGGCAACACTCTGCACCACCTTGATCCAGGAGCTTGTTGAGGCCTGCGAGGTGATGGCACGTGCCCTTTCCATTTCATCGTCGGGTGAGACACTAGCAGAGCTGGGTGTCCCGGGCTCCAAGAGCTCGCATGCTCCCCGAGGTGGCTGTCGTCTCCCAGTTCCTCAGCAGCCAGGGTCACCCGATGCTGCGCTTCAGGTTCTGGACTGCCGGCCGTTTGCGTTTGTACTCAGCCTTCTCCACTTCAGAGCATCATGTCCCTTTCCAGCCCCAGCCCTCGAGGGTGTGATGACCCTGAGATGAGTTGGCCACGTCAGTACCCGTTTGCTTTGTGCCGCGTCAGTGTGCCACAGTCTCAGAGTCAGGATGCTAAGGCTGTCTCCTTCAGTGTAGGCACAGAGCTGGGGAGGCTGGGGCAGGAGGGTGGCCACAAGCCCAAGGCCAGCCCGACCTGCGTGGTGAGAGAGAGAGAGACTGTATATTCTCCCCCGGTGTGAAACACACGGCCGTGTCGCCGCTGTCTGAGCACGCACCCACCTCTCCTTCGAGCCCAGTGCTCATGGCTCTAGACCCTGTAGCTGTATTACTTGGGTTTGGCATGCTATTTTCTCATCTAGATTTGTTGTAAATGTTACCTACGGGTTTGGTTTTGCTGTCTGATTGCTGTATCTGCACCAGCAGCCGGTACCCTGTGTTCACCTGGGTTTGGAAATTCGTTCTCCAGGACCAGGTTGCCAGGAGAGTTTTGTTGCATGTGAATCCTGGTCGTGTACTTTTATTTGAATATCTTAAATGTTTACTTCCTCTGACATCAACT